CCTGGCTGATTTTGGGGTCCCCCAGGGGCTGGTGGTGGTGGTGACTGGTGGGATTTGGGGTCTCCAGGTGGGTTTGGGTGGAATTTGATGGTCCTTGGTCGGATTTTGGTGATTCTTGGCTGGATTTTGGTGGTCCCCGGTGGGTTTTGGGAGTCCCCCGATGGATTTTGGGGAGCCCTGGCTGATTTTGGGGGTCCCCCAGGGGCTGGTGGTGGTGGTGACTGGTGGGATTTGGGGTCTCCAGGTGGGTTTTGGGGTGGATTTTGGTGGTTCTTGGTCGGATTTTGACGCTTCCGGGTCGGATTTTGGCGGTTCCCGGTGGGTTTTGGGGGTCCCCCGATGGATTTTGGGGTGCCCTGGTTGATTTTGGGGGTCCCCCAGGGGCTGGTGGTGGTGGTGACGGGCGGCTGTGGCTTCCTGGGCTCCCACCTGGTGCGGCTGCTGCTGGAGAAGGAGCCGGAGCTGCGGGAGCTGCGGATCTTCGACCTCAACATCGACCCCAGCGTGGTGCCCCCAGGACATGGTCAGGGGGGCCCCAAACACCCCCAAAATAACCCAAAAATAACCCGAAAATAACTCCCCAAACACCCCCGAAATAACCCCAAAATAACCCCCAAACTATCCCCAAAATATGCTGAAAATGTCCCCCAAAATAACCAAAAAATGACCCAAAAATAACCCAAAAATAACCCCAAAATAACCCCAAAATAACCCACAAATCCCTCAGCGTGGTGCCCCCAGGACATGGTCAGGGGGGCCCAAAAACCCCCAAAATAACCCCAAAAATAACCCAAAAATAACCCCCCAAACACCCCCAAAGTATCCTAAAAACATCCCCCCAAATAATCCAAAAATGACCAAAAAATAACCCCCAAAATAACCCCAAAATAACCCAAAAATAACCCAAAAATCCCCCAGCGTGGTGCCCCCAGGACATGGTCAGGGGGGGCCCAAAAACCCCCAAAATATCCCCAAAATAACCCAAAAATAACCCCCTAAACACCCCCGAAATATCCCCAAAATATCCTAAAAATATCCCCCAAAATAACCCAAAAATATAACCCAAAAATAACCCAAAAATAACCCAAAAATCCCCCAGCGTGGTGCCCCCGGGACATGGTCGGAGGGGGCCCCAAAAACCCCCAAAATATCCCCAAAATAACCCAAAAATAACCCCCTAAACACCCCCGAAATATCCCCAAAATATCCCCCAAAATGACCCCAAAATAACCCCCAAAACACCCCCACAATATCCCTAAAAACCTCCTCAAAATACCCCCCAAATCCCCATTTTTTCCCCATTTTTCCCATTTTTCCCATTTTTTCCCCAGAATCCAAGGTCCATCTGCTCCGTGGGGACGTGTCCCGCCGGGGGTACCCCCAAAATCCCCATTTTCCCCCCATTTTTCCCCCATTTTTCCACTTTAATTCCCCATTTTTCCCCCTTTAATCCCCATTTTTCCCAAAATCCCCGTTTTTTCCCCCAGAATCCAAGGTCCATCTGCTCCGTGGGGACGTGTCCCGCCGGGGGTACCCCCAAAATCCCCATTTTTTCCCCATTTTTCCCCATTTTTTCCCCATTTTTCCCCCTTTTTTCTCCATTTTTCCTATATTTTTCCCAAAATCCCCGTTTTTTCCCCCAGAATCCAAGGTCCGGTTGTTCCGTGGTGACGTGTCCCGCCGGGGGGCGGTGGGGGAGGTGCTGGGCGGGGCCCACCTCGTGTTCCACGCGGCCTCCCTCGTGGATGTCTGGGGGGGGAGCAGCCCCGAGGCCATCGCCAGGGTCAACGTCCAGGGTGGGAGAATTTGGGGGCATTTTGGGGCATTTTGGGGGGATTTTGGGCAGTTTGGGAGGGTTTGGGGGGAGTTAAAGGGGATTTGGGGGAATTTAAAGGGGATTTGGGGGGCTTTAAAGGGGATTCTGGGAGGGTTTGGGGGTGTCTGGGGGGGTTTAAATGGGGTTTAAAGGGAATTTTGGGGGGATTTGGGGGGGTTTAAAGGGGATTTGGGGGTGGGGAGGGGTTTAGGGGATTTAGAGGATCTGGGGGTTTAAAGGGGTTTGGGGGTGGATTAGGGGTGGGGAGGATTTGGGGGTTAAAGGGATTTGGGGGTTTGGAGGGATTTGGGGAGTTGGGGAGGTTGGGGTGCAGTGGGGGTCTGAGGGTGTTTTGGGAGGGGGTCAGGGTCTGGTTTTGGGGGTTTGGGGGTTCTGGGGGTGTTTTTTGGGGCTCAGGGGTATTTTTGGGATTTGGGGGATTTTGGGGTGCTGGGGGTGGTTTTGGGGATTTGGGGGATTTTAGGGGGCTGGGGTGTTTTTGGGTTGGGGAATTTTGGGGTGCTGGGGGTGTTTTTGGGGTGCCAAACCCTCCGCCCTCCCCTTTTTTTTTGGGTATCCCCCCCCCTCCAGGGACCAAGAACGTGATTTGGGGGTGTCAGGACCGGGGGGTCCCCGTCCTGATCTACACCAGCAGCATGGAGGTGGTGGGGCCCAACACCCGGGGGGACCCCTTCGTCAGGTGAGGGACCCCCAAAAATACCCCAGAATCACCCCAAAAATACCCTAAAATCGCCCCCAAAATCACCCTGAAATCACTCCAAAATTGCCCCCCAAAAAACCCAAAAATACCCCAAAAACACCCCCAAAAACACCCCAAAAATCACCCCAAAATCACCCCAAAAAGCCCCTCAAAGCCACCCCCAAATCCTCTCAAAATCACGCCCCAAAATCACCCCAAAATCACCCAACACCCGGGGGGACCCCTTCGTCAGGTGAGGGACCCCCAAACTAACCCCAAAATCACCCCAAAAATACCCTAAAATCGCCCCCAAAATCACCCCAAAATCACCCCCAAATTAACCCCAAAAATACCCCAAAAATCACCCCAAAAACACCCCAAAATCACCCCAAAAACCACCCCAAAAACACCCCAAAATCACCCCAAAAACACCCCCAAAATCACCCCAAAAATCACCCCAAAACCACCCCAAAATCACCCTGAAAACCCCCTTGAAACCACCTCAAAATCACCCCCAAAAAACCCCCAAAATCACCCCAAAAACACCCCAAAAATACCCCAAAATCACCCCCAAAATCACCCCAAAAATAACCCCAAAATTACCCCCCAAAAAAACCCCAAAATCACCCCAAAAATACCCCAAAAACACCCCAAAAATACCCCAAAATCACCCCAAAATCACCCCAAAAATACCCCAGAATCACCCCAAAAATGCCCTAAAATCACCCCCAAAATCACCCTGAAATCACTCCAAAATTGCCCCCCAAAAAACCCAAAAACACTCCAAAATACCCCAAAATCACCCCCAAAATACCCCAAAATCACCCCAAGAAGCCCCTCAAAGCCACCCCCAAATCCCCTCAAAATCGCCCCCCAAAAAACCCCCAAAATCACCCCCAAAACACCCCAAAAATACCCCCAAAATACTCCAAAATCACCCCCAAAATCACCCCCAAAAATCCCCTCAAAATCACCCCCAAAACACCCCAAAATCACCCAAAAACACCTCAAAATCACCCCCAAAATACCCCCAAAATTTGGAGTGGTTTTGGGGTATTTGAGGTTTTTTGGGGGGCTGTTTTTGAGGGGTTTTTTTTGGGGGGGGTTGGGGGGTTTTTTGAGGTTTTTTTGGGGGATTTGGGGTGGTTTTGAGAGGGTTTTTGAGAGCGTTTTTGGGGGATTTGGGGGATTTTTTTGGGGGGGATTTTGAGGGGCTTTTTTGGTTTTTTTTGGGGGGATTTTTGGGGTGATTTTGGGGAGGTTTTGGGACCGTTTCTGGTCTGATTTTGACGGGGGGCTTTGGGGTTTTTGTTTTTTTTTTTTTTGATTTTTTTGTTTTTTTGTTTTTTTGGGGTCCCCTGGATTTGGGGGATTTTGGGACCCCCAAAAAGGGGGGTGAGACCTCCCCATGTCCCTTTTTGGGGTGTTTTGGGGGCAGTTTTGGGGGGTCCCAGGGAGGTTTTGGGTCATTTCTGACCCAATTTTGATGGGGTTTGGGAGGTTTTTGGAGTTTTTTTGGGGTTTTTTGGGGTCCCCCGGATTTGGGGGATTTTGGGGACCCCCAAAAAGGGGGGATGAGACCTCCCCATGTCCCTTTTTGGGGTGTTTTGTGCTGATTTTGGGGCGTTTCAGGCACGTTTTGGGTCATTTCTGACCCGATTTTGACGGGGTTTTTTGGGTTTTTTGGGGTTTTTTGGGGTCCCTCGGATTTGGGGGATTTTGGGGACCCCCAAAAAGGGGGGATGAGACCTCCCCATGTCCCTTTTTGGGTTGTTTTGTGCTGTTTTTGGGGTGTTTTGTGCTGGTTTTGGGGCGTTTCGGGCGCGTTTTGGGTCATTTCTGCCCCGATTTTGACGGGGTTTTTTTTGGGGGATGGGGGTTTTTTGGGGTTCCCCAGATTTTGGGGACCCCCCCGACTGATTTTGGGGTCCCCCCTCCCCTCAGGGGGGACGAGGAGACCCCGTACCCCACCCGGCACTCGGAGCCGTACCCGCTCAGCAAAGCCCAGGCCGAGAGGCTCGTCCTGGAGGCCAACGGGGCCCCCGTGAGTTTTTGGGGTGAAAAAACCCAAATTTGGGGGTCTGGGGGTGGGGGACCCCAAACATTAAAGGGGGAGGGTCTGGGGGTCTCCCAAAATTTGGGGGTCGGGACGGAGGAGAAAGCCCAAAATTCGAAGGGGATTTGGGGACTGGGGAACCCCCGTGACTTTTTGGGGTAAAACCCCAAATTTGGGGGTTTGGGGGTGGGGGACCCACAAAATTAAAGGGGGAGGGTCTGGGGTCTCCCAAATTTGGGGGCTCTGGGGGATGGGGAGCCCAAAATTCAAGGGGGATTTGGGGAACTGAGGGACCCCGTGAGTTTTGGGGTAAAAACCCAAATTTGGGGGTTTGGGGGTGGGGGATCTCCAACATTAAAGGGGGAGGGTCTGGGGGTCTCCCAAAATCTGGGTGGTCGGGGGAGAGGAAGAAGCCCAAAATTCGAGGGGGATTTGGAGGACTGGGGGGACCCCATGAGTTTTTTTGGGGGAAAACCCCAAATTTGGGGGTCTGGGGGTGGGGGATCCCCAACACTTGGAGGGGGGGGGAGGTCCAGTGGGTTCAGGAGACCCCTCCCGATTTCGGGGGTCCCAGTGCCAAATTTGGGGGCCCCAGTGCCGATTTCGGGGGTCCCCCTCCCCAATTTCGGGGGTCCCAATGCCAATTTCGAGGGTCCCCCCCCAATTTCGGGGGTCCTGATGCCGATTTTGGGGGTCCCAGTGCTGATTTCGGGGGTCCTGATGCCCATTTTGGGGGTCCTGATGCCGATTTTGGGGGTCCTGATGCCGATTTTGGGGTCTCTCCCCCCTCAGGTGCGAGGGGGGTCCCGGTTGGTGACGGTGTCCCTGCGGCCCACGGGGATTTTGGGGGTCCCCTTCATTTTGGGGGTCCCAGTGCCGATTTCAGGGGTCCTGATGCCGATTTTGGGGTCTCTCCCCTCTGATTTTGGGGTCTCCTCCCCCTCAGGTGCGAGGGGGGTCCCGGTTGGTGACGGTGTCCCTGCGGCCCATGGGGATTTTTGGGGCTCCCCTTCATTTTGGGGGTCCCAGTGCTGATTTTTGGGGGTCCCAGTGCTGATTTTGGGGTCTCTCCCCTCTGATTTTGGGGTCTCTCCCCCCTCAGGTGCGTGGGGGGTCCCGGTTGGTGACGGTGTCCCTGCGGCCCACGGGGATTTTCGGGGCTCCCCTTCATTTTGGGGGTCCCAGTGCCGATTTTGGGGCTCCTGATGCCAATTTCGGGGGTCCTGATCCTGATTTTGGGGGTCCTGATTCCGATTTCGGGGGTCCTGATGCTGATTTTGGGGTCTCTCCCCCCTCAGGTGCGAGGGGGGTCCCGGTTGGTGACGGTGTCCCTGCGGCCCACGGGCATTTTTGGGGCTCCCCTTCATTTTGGGGGTCCCAGTGCTGGTTTTGGGGGTCCCAGTGCTGATTTTGGGGGTCCTGATGCCGATTTTGGGGGTCCTGATGCCGATTTTGGGGGTCCTGATGCTGATTTTGGGGTCTCTCCCCCCCTCAGGTGCGTGGGGGGTCCCGGTTGGTGACGGTGTCCCTGCGGCCCACGGGCATTTTTGGGGAGCGGCACCCCCTGCTCGAGCTCTTCTATCGCCGGGGGAGGGGCCTGGGGGGGCGGCTGCCCCTCACCCTCCCCCCAAATGCCGAGCATGGACGGGTCTATGCAGGTGAGACCCCCCAAAATATCCCCAAATTCCCCAAATCCCCCCAAATCCCCTCACCCTCCCCCCAAATGCTGAGCACGGGAGGGTCTATGCAGGTGAGACCCCCAAAAATAACCCCAAATTCACCCAAATCCCCTCACCCTGCCCCCCAATGCTGAACATGGGAGGGTCTATGCAGGTGAGACCCCCAAAAATAACCCCAAATTCACCCAAATCCCCTCAGAGATCCCAAAATACCCCCAAATCCCCTCACCCTCCCCCCCAATGCTGAGCACGGGAGGGTCTATGCAGGTGAGACCCCCCAAATAACCCCAAATCCCTCAGAGACCCCCAAATCCTCTCAAATCCCCCAAATCCCCTCAAATCCCCTCACCCTCCCCCCAACGCTGAGCACGGGAGGGTCTATGCAGGTGAGACCCCCAAAAATATCCCCAAATTCACCCAAATCCCCCAAATCCCCCCAAATCCCCTCAAATCCCCTCACCCTCCCCCAACGCTGAGCACGGAGGGTCTATGCAGGTGAGACCCCAAAAATATCCCCAAATTCACCCAAATCCCCTCAGAGATCCCAAACTCCCTCAGAGCCCTCAAATCCCCCCAAATCCCCCAAATCCCCCAAATCCCCTCACCCTGCCCCCAATGCTGAGCATGGGAGGGTCTATGCAGGTGAGACCCCCAAAACATCCCCAAATCCCATCAGAGATCCCAAAATCCCTCACCCTCCCCCAATGCTGAACATGGGAGGGTCTATGCAGGTGAGACCCCAAAAATATCCCCAAATCCCCCAAATCCCCTCAGAGATCCCCAAATCCCCCAAATCCCCTCACCCTCCCCCAACACTGAGCACGGGAGGGTCTATGCAGGTGAGACCCCAAAAATATCCCCAAATTCACCCAAATCCCCCAAATCCCCTCACCCTCCCCCCCAATGCTGAGCATGGACGGGTCTATGCAGGTGAGACCCCAAAAATATCCCCAAATCCCCCCAAATCCCTCACCCTGCCCCCAATGCCGAGACATGGACGGGTCTATGCAGGTGAGACCCCCAAAAAATAACCCCAAATCCCCTCAAATCCCCTCAAATCCCCCAAATCCCCCCAAATCCCTCACCCTCCCCCAATGCTGAGCACGGAGGGTCTATGCAGGTGAGACCCCAAAATAACCCCAAATTCACCCAAATCCCCTCAGAGATCCCAAAATCCCCCTCAGAGCCCTCAAATCCCCCCAAATCCCCTCACCCTGCCCCCAATGCTGAACACGGGAGGGTCTATGCAGGTGAGACCCCCAAAAATATCCCCAAATCCCCTCAAATCCCCTCAAATCCCCTCAGAGATCCCAAAATCCCCCCAAATCCCCTCACCCTGCCCCCCAATGCTGAGCACGGGAGGGTCTATGCAGGTGAGACCCCCAAAATAACCCCAAATTCACCCAAATCCCCTCAGAGATCCCAAAATAACCTCAAATCCCCCCAAATCCCCTCACCCTCCCCCCCAACGCTGAGCACGGGAGGGTCTATGCAGGTGAGACCCCAAAAATAACCCCAAGTTCACCCCTGGTTTCCCCAAATCCCCCTCAGAGATCCCCCAAATCCTCTAATCCCACTCACTGACCCCTTTAATCCCATTTTTCCCTGTTTTTTCCCTATTTTCCCCCAGGAAACGTGGCCTGGATGCCCATCCTGACCCCTTTAATCCCATTTTTATCCCATTTTTCCCCAGGGAACGTGGCCTGGATGCACATCCTGACCCCTTTAATCCCATTTTACCCCATTTAATCCCATTTAATCCCATTTTTTATCTCATTTTCCCCCAGGGAACGTGGCCTGGATGCACATCCTGACCCCTTTAATCCTTTTTAATCCCATTTTTCTTTGTTTTCCCCCCAGGGAACGTGGCCTGGATGCACATCCTGACTCCTAATTCCCTGTTTTTATCCCATTTTTCCCCAGGGAACGTGGCCTGGATGCACATCCTGACCCCTTTAATCATTTTAATCCCATTTTTCCCCCATTTAATCCCATTTTCTCCCCGTTTTCCCCCAGGGAACGTGGCCTGGATGCCCATAATGACCCCTTAATCCCATTTTCCCCCCATTTAATCCCATTTTTACCCCATTTAATCCCATTTTTCCCCCATTTAATCCCATTTTTATCTCATTTTCCCCCAGGGAACGTGGCCTGGATGCCCATAATGACTCCTAATTCCCTGTTTTTTCCCATTTCCCCAGGGAACGTGGCCTGGATGCACATCCTGACCCCTTTAATCCTTTTTAATCCCATTTTTATCCCCTTTAATCCCAATTTTTTTGGTTTTTCCCCAGGGAACGTGGCCTGGATGCCCATCCTGACCCCTTTAATCGCATTTTTACCCCATTTAATCCCATTTTCACCCCATTTAATCCCATTTTTATCCTGTTTTCCCCCAGGGAACGTGGCCTGGATGCACATCCTGACCCCTTTAATCGCATTTTTACCCCATTTAATCCCATTTTTACCCCATTTAATCCCATTTTCTCCTGTTTTCCCCAGGGAACGTGGCCTGGATGCACATCCTGGCCGCCCGTGCCGCCCTGTCCCACCCCGGCTCCGTGGGGGGCGATTCCTTTTTCTGCTGTGACCTCTCCCCATCGCTGCCCTACGAGGAGTTCAACCTCTCCCTGCTGGGGCTCAGTCCCAGCCCGGCCCCCCGGCCCCCCCCGGCCCTGCTGGCGCTGCTGGCGAAGCTCAACTCGGCCCTCAGGGCCCTGCTGGGACCCCTGGGCTGGGGCTTCACCCCCCTGCTCAACCCCTACACCCTGGCCGTGGCCTCCACCCCCTTCACCGTCCGCACCCAGAGAGCCCGCAGCAAATTCGGGTACCAGCCCATCTACAGCTGGGAACAGGCACGGGACAGGACCAGGGAGTGGCTGGCACAGCTGGGGTAGCACTGGGATGGCACTGGGATGGGACTGGGATGGACCTAAATGGGACTGGGACAGGACTGGGACAGGACCAGGACATGGTTTGCACAGCTGGGATAGCACTGGGATGGCACTGGGACAGGACTGGGACAGGACCAGGGAGTGGCTGCAACAGCTGGGGTAGCACTGGGATGGCACTGGGATGGGACTGGGATGGCACTGGGACAGGACCAGGGAGTGGCTGCAACGGCTGGGGTAGCACTGGGACAGGACTGGGATAGAACTGGGACAGGACCAGGGAGTGGCTGGCACGGCTGGGGTAGCACTGGGACAGGACTGGGATAGAACTGGGACAGGACCAGGGAGTGGCTGGCACGGCTGGGGTAGCACTGGGGTGGACCTAAATGGGACTGGGATGGACCTAAATGGGACTGGGATAGACCTAAATGGGACTGGGATAGGACTGGATGGACCTAAATGGGACTGGGATAGCACTGGGACAGGACTGGGATAGCACTGGGACAGGACTGGGATGGCACTGGGATAGCACTGGGACAGGACCAGGGAGTGGCTGGCACAGCTGGGATGGACCTAAATGGGACTGGGATGGACCTAAATGGCACTGGGACAGGACTGGGACAGGACCAGGGAGTGGCTGGCACAGCTGGGATAGCACTGGGATGGCACTGGGACAGGACTGGGATGGACCTAAATGGGACTGGGATAGACCTAAATGGGACTGGGATAGACCTAAATGGGACTGGGATGGACCTAAATGGGACTGGGATGGACCTAAATGGGACTGGGATAGACCTAAATGGGACTAGGATGGACCTAAATGGGACTGGGATAGGACTGGGACAGGACCAGGGAGTGGCTGGCACAGCTGGGGTAGCACTGGGATGGCACTGGGATAGCACTGGGATAGACCTAAATGGGACTGGGATAGCACTGGGATAGCACTGGGACAGGACCAGGGAGTGGCTGACACAGCTGGGGTAGCACTGGGATGGCACTGGGATGGCACTGGGATGGACCTAAATGGGACTGGGATGGACCTAAATGGCACTGGGATGGACCTAAATGGGACTGGGACAGGACTGGGACAGGACCAGGGAGTGGCTGGCACAGCTGGGGTAGCACTGGGATAGACCTAAATGGGACTGGGATAGACCTAAATGGGACTAGGATGGACCTAAATGGGACTGGGATGGACCTAAATGGGACTGGGATGGACCTAAATGGGACTGGGATGGACCTAAATGGGACTGGGATAGCACTGGGATAGGACTGGGACAGGACCAGGGAGTGGCTGGCACAGCTGGGATAGCACTGGGATAGACCTAAATGGGACTGGGATAGACCTAAATGGGACTGGGATGGCACTGGGACAGGACCAGGACCAGATGGCTGGCACAGCTGGGGTAGGAATAAATGGGACTGGGATAGCACTGGGATAGGACTGGGACAGGACCAGGGAGTGGCTGGCACAGCTGGGGTAGGAATAAATGGGACTGGGATAGCACTGGGATAGGACTGGGACAGGACCAGGGAGTGGCTGCAACTGCTGGGATAGCACTGGGATGGACCTAAATGGGACTGGGATAGGACTGGGACAGGACTGGGATAGGAATAAACTGGGACCAGGGAGTGGCTGGCACAGCTGGGACAGGACTGGGATAGGAATGGGCTGGGATAGGAATGGACTGGGATAGGAATAAACTGGGATAGGACTGGGACAGGACTGGGATGGCACTGGGACAGAACTGGGATAGGAATAAAGTGGGACAGGACTGGGACAGGACTGGGATAGGAATGGACTAGGATAGGAATAAACTGGGACAGGACTGGGACAGGAGGGGTTGGGGTTTGGGGCTGGGAGGGAGATCTGGAACGGGGGTCGGGTTTGATTCTGGTCTGGGAGGAGATTTGGGATGGGATTTGTGTTTGATCCCAGTCCTGAGGGAGATCCAGGTCAGGATTTGTGTCTGATCCCAGTCCTGAGAGAAATCCAGGCTGGGATTTGCAACTGATCCCGGTCCTGAGGGAGATCCAGGCCAGGGTTTGTGTCTGATCCCGGTCCTGAGGGAGATCCAGGCCAGGGTTTGTGTCTGATCCCGGTCCTGAGGGAAATCCAGGCCAGGATTTGTGTCTGATCCCGGTCCTGAGGGAAATCCAGGCTGGGATTTGTGTCTGATCCCGGTCCTGAGGGAAATCCAGGCTGGGATTTGCAGCTGATCCCAGTCCTGAGGGAAATCCAGGTCAGGATTTGTGTCTGATCCCGGTCCTGAAGGAAATCCAGGCCAGGATTTGTGTCTGACCCCAGTCCTGAGGGAAATCCAGGCCAGGATTTGTGTCTGATCCCAGTCCTGAGGGAGATCCAGGCCGGGATTTGTGTCTGATCCCGGTCCTGAGGGAGATCCAGGCCAGGATTTGTGTCTGATCCCGGTCCTGAGGGAAATCCAGGCTGGGATTTGTGTCTGATCCCAGTCCTGAGGGAGATCCAGGCTGGGATTTGTGTCTGATCCCGGTCCTGAGGGAAATCCAGGCCAGGATTTGTGTCTGATCCCGGTCCTGAGGGAGATCCAGGCCAGGATTTGTGCCTTATCCAAATCCTGAGGGAATCCAGGCCGGGATTTGCTCCTGATCCCGATCCCGACCCAAATCCAGGCCGGGTTTTGTGTCTGATCCCGATCCTGAGCGAAATCCAGGCCGGGATTTGTGCCTGATCCCAATCCTGAGGGAAATCCAGGCCAGGATTTGTGTCCTGATCCCAGTCCTGAGGGAGATCCAGGCCAGGATTTGTGTCTGATCCCAGTCCTGAGGGAAATCCAGGCCAGGATTTGTGTCTGATCCCAGTCCTGAGGGAGATCCAGGCTGGGATTTGTGTCTGATCCCGGTCCTGAGAGAAATCCAGGCTGGGATTTGTGTCTGATCCCGGTCCTGAGAGAAATCCAGGCCAGGATTTGTGTCTGATCCCAGTCCTGAGGGA